TTTTTTTTATTTAAGGTACATATTCTCCAATTCCCAACGCTAACCCTTTCGAAACGTATTCTAGCTCCCACCCTACACGCCAGCTTCGGTTACACTCCTTTTACACTCTTCGGAATCAGGAAAGGTTCGTTCCCGATCATTCAAATTTTCGCTTTGGTTCTTTTTGTTGTTATTTTTATACCATTTGATATTCTTAGGAAGAGCCTAAGCAAGACAAATTGTGTAGGCATAATGAGCTTTAGTACTGTGAATCAAATCAACCAAAAAATACGAAAATGAGGTTTTCGTGATTTCCAGGCCTAGTTCTTAAAACAAATTATGTTTCCCTCACAAATGATCATTGAATATCTCCATCGTCACACTATATTAATGACTGTCACTAAGTTCGTCAGCTGAAAGCCATACACGCCGTACCCTTCGCCACTCATCCCAATGTATTCCAGGGAAGAAACAAAATGAGAGACTGCCTTATAGAAATCAGCTAGGCAGGTTCACATTTGTTAATCAGCATGCCAAGCTCGATACTGAACCCTACTTGACAATAGTGTGGCCTAGTCCTCTGGACTGTGAAGACATTTTATGTTCGTCCTGCAACAGCCTCATCTACTGCGAAAATGTCCGCCTGACATCGATTTCCAATCGGGATATACCTCACAGAACGAGGTAAGGCCTAATATGGGGACCCTGTTACGCTTTCGCAGTTTGAGCTCGATCCAATTTAGTGGTGAGGAACCATTATTACCTGAAGAGTCCTCAGTGCTTGCTACATGTCAGCTTCAAATTAATCATAGTCCACTAGCGCGTACTTCGTAGGTAGTTAATTAAAAAAACCGGTGGAAAAATTTTTTCAGCCATCTTTATAGCCACGGAGTTGTGGTTTTAGTAGTCTTGATACGAAAGTTCGTGGTCGATGAGGAAACCGCTATCCTTTAATATTCCGATTTTATTTGACAAGTTAGCGCTCATTGTCTTTGTTTCCAGATTCCTTTTTAAACTTGACTAGTTGGTTTAGAATAGGCTTGGGCATGTAAATGTAGGCACTGGGGGGAATCCAACATCATTTGACTTCGAACAGTTAAATAAAAACAGTGCGTTCTCCTGCGAATACGAATTTGACTTTTAAGTCCACTTTCACCACAACCTCAAGGCTGCAGTCCGATTTTCCCAAGTAAATAGTTTTTATCAAGATAGACTTAGACAGCTGAAGAGCTTTTTACTGGCAATAACGATTACAAAGTTAGCTCACAGGTTGCCTTGGTTCCGTGCACTTCCACTTATAGCGCGAAGTAAGGTGTGTTAATTCGTCTTGGTTTTATAAATTTGTCCTGAGTTTGATATAATCCCTCGTACCAGATGGTACGATGCTCTGCGGCATCGGCCCCACCCACCATTCCCAGGCCTCAGTCGGTTTAGTTGTCGGGTACGCTCATTCCCCTTATCGAACCGGGCCTGGGAATGAGACTAAAGGGGGAGGTCGATGGCTCAGGGCAATTTCCTAACTATAACCGATCTGACGCGCTTGAAGCTATCACGGTGTGCCAAAGGCCGTGGCTTGGAAGGTTGCCAACTGAAGCGATAATGCAGACCACACAGTCAGTCCAACGGGTGTGCTTGTAGGGAGTGGCCGACTTTTCTAATGAGAGTGTAGCCGCAGTGGCTCTTTGATGTGGCCTTTATTGCACCCCAACTCCTTAGAATCTGAGCCAGATGTAGCGACACGCTTATGGGCGGTTCCGGCCGCGCCAGCCACCTGCGCCCTCTCTCGTCGCCGTTCTGTTTGACTTGGTAATGACCCCGAGCTCAGGTGGTGGGGCGGAGGGAGAGAATACGATAGATGCAGCGCAGGTATACAACCACTATAATCTAGATCACGAGCTTGCCGCCGTATCTGTGCCACTTTTTTTGTGAGACACACGATGGATCACGTAATCGACGGTGGAACTCTCGGTAGTTTCAGAGATCATGTTAGTGCTCACCAGAATGCGCTTATGTGTTCGCTGATGCTTCGGAGAGCTGGGTTGGCTCTCCTTTGTCAAAGGGTAGACTGCCGTTATCGATCGGCAATGTTAACTTGTGGCTGTATGC